GGAAAAAAAAAAAAAAAAAAAAGAAAAGAGGAATTTAAAATATAATAAATTCAATAGCACAATTATATCCGATATTACAACACTTGTAAGAATGTAAGAATAAATCGTAAAAGTAAGAGACACAAGTCCAAATTCATTGGTATTTTCATCCAATGGACCAACAACATTAGAAATTACCTCTCAGATTCAAGTTTTAGGTACTCTAGTAAATCGTCCCCCCTCTCTTTGCTTGGTTTCCAATATTGTAAGAAGCAATGTACCTGTAGAATATAAAGTTATATGATTAACAAATTTTATGAACAAATATAGCAAATACATTACAAGGTAAGGGAAAAAAGTTTTTGTAAATGCGATAAAGAGAAATACTATGATTTATTCCTTAGCAAATAATAACATACCTTCCCAGATTAATTATATGCGAGATTGCATTTTATTTTTTGCAATAACAATTAATATCAGAAACCTAACTATTAGAGTGATATTATGAATAGTAATTAAAAAGGGAAAACATTTATAAATTGTCCAGAAAGAGCCTCATTGAACGGAGATGACAAATACAGAAAAAGATTTTCTAGAAGGCAAAAATAGATTATGGAATACAAAATAATAAGAAAAAAGTAACCAACTCAGCTTTCTATTTTTTTTTTTCTTTAAAATTTTAATATATATCACTAGAGGAAGCCCGCGCGATTGGCGTAAGGGTTTGTTTCAAAGTTGCTTTTTGTTTTAACATTTAAAAATAAATATTTATAAAAAATATTACAATTTAAAAAAGAACGAAATAAATTGTAAAATATCTAAGTATAGACTAAGTTTATTATTATATCTTATTGTATGCATACCAAATAAATTCCTAGACAATTTTAAGCATTAGTTAAAATTGTTGTTGCAAAATAAGCCAATAGTCCCAAAGTAACCAAAAAATACAATAATAATAAAGATATAAAAATATAAAAATTAGATAATTATTAATGAATGGATCGGACACAAAAATAAACGGTAAACTATCAATTTAAAATAAAAATAATATTTGAAATTTTAAATATATAAATATGGATAATATTTTGAATAAATACCAATTTAAACTTTAAAGTAAAAAAAAAATATATATTATTTAAGTGATCCTAATAAAAAAAAGAAAAAAATTCTAAATTTAAAGTTTAAAAATAGATATAATAAATTATTGTTAATGTATATTAATTTTAAAAATATAATTTATCAAAATATAATTTTAATTTAGATAACAAAATTAAAAATTAAAATGTTAAGAATATCATTTTTTAAATATAAATTGGTAAGATATTTAAATTTATTTTTAATTTAGTAGATCTTTATCTTATAAATTTCTTTTATTATTTTGAATGTATTTAATATTATTGATTTTAAATATTTTTTTTGAAGTCAAGTACATAAATGTCCTATTTGAATATAATAACTAAAGAGATATTTTTCCTCTTTAAATCTTCTACTGGAAAACAAAACAAATAAAAGAAATTACATAATAATAAATAAATAAAATAAATAAATAAACCAATTAAGACTCACATTTCATTCATAAAGTATAAAAAACTATACAGACACAATTGAAAAAAGTTATTACTAAATATACTTCAACATCAATAATAAACTGATTGTACAAAGGTCAAAAAATAAAAGATATTTTGCTAAAAGGTCCTATTTTATCAATTCATTCTTTATTCCTATTTTTGCTTCTATCTTCCACTTCTTCCTGCATGAAAAAAGAGAAAAAAAAAATCATAAAATTGGATATTACCTTTAAGTTAAAGAAGAATAGGAGGTGATATATATGATTAAAGTTGCTATTATTTGTCCTTTTAATTCCCAAAATTTGAAAAAAACAAAACAATAACAATACTTTCTCAAAATAAAAATAAATAAATAAAAAGTTTAAAATTTTGTAATAGCATAATCAAGAATCCAAAAAAATTGGAACAAAAATAATTTAAGGAAAAACAAGAAAAAAAATAAGAAGAAATAACCATTACGAAAAAAATCATTGAAATTGAGAATACGTATAGAATATGTGTATGTAGCATATATATATAGATAATAAAAAGATTCAAAAGTTTAAAATTTTTAAAAATTTAAGTCAAATACATAAAAAAAATCCACTGAACTTTAAAAGAAAAAAAAATCCTATTTGCATCCGCCACACGTTTCCCTGAATGACCTGTATGCTCTCGAGTAAGTGTTCGTTGTAACAAGTTATTAAAATATCGCTAGATATATCCACCACTTAGCTGTCGAAGAGCGAGATATTACCAGAGAGAGAGGAGGAATCCCCGGTGTATACCGGTAGGACTATCACTATAGATAACAGAATCATACTTCCGATCTACGCGTAGTTGCGCTGGTCATTCGAGGTGTATAAGCCGAGTAACGATTCTCTCTCTCTCTCTCTCTCTCTCCTCTTCTCTCTCTCTCTCTCTTGTTGCTCTTTTCTCTTTAGCTATCCTGCTAAATCCACCATGGTCAGGATTCATGCAAGTCAAATCGAAATGGAGGACTCAAATAGGGCTTTGTGTGTATAAGTCACAGTTGAATGTAATAAAATAGAGAAGAACAAAGAAGAAGGCTGAAATTCCAGTAGCAGTTTATTGTTTTTTATCCAATGCCGTGTTTGGTTTTATTTTTTTTTTATTTTTTTATTTTTTTTTAATTTTTTTTTCGATCTACTTCTCAATCTCCTATTATCTTATTTGAAAGGGGGTCAATCCCTTCTTGTATATGTCCTCCTTGGCTTTTTATGACTCTGATTTCTAAATCAAGTTTAGTTTTTTCTTCGATTTGGAGAAATTTTTTTCTTTATTTGTTATTTGTAAATTATTTAATATATGAAGAATATTTTAAAAATAATTTTGGAGAAAGAAAAAGTGGACAAAATAAAATCCTAACATTAATTGTCTTTACCTTTTTGGTGTAGACTATAGTTAGTAAGAAGCTTTCCTTCTTCTTCGTGACGAATTCCTGCAATTGAAGCATGAATGCTATGGGCTTTTGATTATACAATGTTATTTTCTTTCCAAATGAAAAACTTTGCAAATTATTAGAAGAAAAATTTCAACGTAATGTTTAATTTGTTCATATTTAAGATTGAATGAAATAATATCAAACTAGTATTTTTTATTGATTCCACTTATTAATTTGAAAATTAAAAACTTTATCTCTAGAAATTTTATTTGGAAAGTTTTTGGTAAAAGGGAATGAAAAATACAGAGAAACGTTGACAAGATATACTGGTGGGGTGATTGGAGAAGGAAAGGAAGTTAAAGGATAAAAAAGACTTGTTATTTTATTTTTTTTATAGTTTAAAATGTCAATCTAACCTTTTGTTCGTTTTTTATTCTAATTCTTCCTCTTAGGAGCTTGAAATTTTCACGTTGGGCTTAAAGGTATTTAAATAGAACAAAATTGACCACATACATGTAGATAAGATGGTCTCCTGTAAAATTAAGAGTGCTGCCAGGATTTTTTCTTTGAAGTTCGGGGCGGGAGGGGGGCAAATATATATATATATAATATATAATATATAAGTATATATTATATATATATATATATATATGCTTAAAATTATTAGGATTAGGAAAATTTGCGAAAAAAGATAATGAAATGCTTAAAGCTAAAAGAGTGTCGACTAGCT